CACACCACACCAGACCCAATCCACCACACAACACCACACTACGCTACACTACATCATGCCAAACCACACTACATCACATCACACCACACCACAACACACCACACCACACCACACCACACCACACTACACTACACTACACTACACTACACTACACTACACCACACCACACTACACCTACACCACACCACACCACACCACACCACACTACACCACACTACACCACACCTCACTACACCAGACCACACCACACCACACTACACTACACCTACACTACAACATACCAAACCACACTACATCACATCACACTACACCACATCACTATTACACCACATAAAAAATGGGAGTTTTTGATTGATTTTAGACGGCACTTAATTGATGCCCGGAGCCGTAGAAAAATAAACAGCGTCTTACATAGTAGACTGTCGAAGTATTGGCACACCGGAGCCGTAGAAAAATAAACAGCGCCTTACATGGTAGACTGTCGAAGTATTGGCGCATGATGGAGGGCAGATAATAGGTTTAAACTATGGATAGGTCGAATAATAGGTTTGATGTATCAATAGGTTTGATAGTAGGTTTGATGTATCTGTAGATTTGATAACAGGTTTAAATATCAGTAGGTTTCATTGTAGCTTTGATGTATCAAAAGTTTGACAATATGTTTGATAGATCAGTAGAAGAAATTATTTAATCCGTTTTGTATATATTGAAGAGAAGACTTGAGTTCAAATGTTTTGTAAAGTAGTGTGTCGGAGTTAGATTGGATGGTGGGTGATAAGGAAATGTTTGGACACGATTATGGTTGATTGGGATAGGTGGGGATACAATTATGGTAGATTGGGATAGGTGGGGATACAATTATGGTTGATTGGGATAGGTGGGATACAATTATGGTTGATTGGGATAGGTGGGATACAATTATGGTTGATTGGGATAGGTGGGATACAATTATGGTTGATTGGGATAGGTGGGATACAATTATGGTAGATTGGGATAGGTGGGGATAAAATTATGGTGGATTGGGATAGGTGGGGATAAAATTATGGTGGATTGGGATAGGTGGGGATAAAATTATGGTGGATTGGGATATGTGGGGATAAAATTATGGTTGTTTGGGATAGGTGGGGATACAATTATGGTGGATTGGGATAGGTGGGGAAAAACTACGTTTGATTTGGATGTATGGGGACAAAAGTATTACACAGTTGAAGTTAAAAAAGGGCATTGTTGCATTTAATAATAAAAAAAAATAGCAGGTTAATTGTGTGTTTTTGTTTAGATATAAAATATATGTAAAACTAAGAATTTTCACTTGATTAGATAAACCTACGTATGTGATGAATGACATAAAATTGAAAAATTAAGTACTTAATGTTTTTTAAAGTACTTTACTATGTAAATTACTGACCAAACATCTTACATACATTATTGTCGTGTGTATGTACAACATCTGGCTAAATGTCATGCATATTATTTATTCACGTAACGGCACAACACTTGGCCAAATGTCATATGCACTCCGTGACCTTATGATTTTCAACTACAGCGAATTTTGTGAAAATCTAACACAACCACCCAATACGTTAATCACTGTTTAAAAAAAAAAGTAACAAAAAAAAAAAAACAAGAAAAAAGAAAAACAAAACAAAACAAAACAAAAACAACCCACACTGCCCATTCTGTGTTAATTGTTCTCTTAATGAAGATGTATTATCCCATTTTGTTTTAACTTTAGAGTAATCACCGTCCATCAATTAGAAAAAAACAACAACCTGATTGCTATTTTATTAGAAGCAGCTACATGGGCAAAACTACCGATCTATTTCTTCCAACTTTACAGAATATCACTGTGCTATTTAACAACAGGAAACGATTAGTAAAGAAAGTTGACAATAATTAATTAAAAAAAACAACCAAAATCTTGTATAAATATAGTAGCTGCAGTGAGGCTTATACAAAACGTAATAATAAAAACAGTGATGGTTCGACCCTTGATTTTCGTTATTATATTGTTTTAATTTCTGTTCTATCATCCAACACATTTTAGTCATCACACTCAACGAGAGATTCATAGTTCAAAACAGCGACAAAAAACATTTATAGAAAACTTCAGAAAATTTTTGATTTTACAAAATACCATTGGAAAAAAAAAGTTTCCTGAAAGTTTTTCTTGACTGCTGCAAGTTCCGGGTGATGGATGGGGGACGGGGCTTAATGAATGGGCACCACGAGACTTGCATTTCTTCAAGTCGTGGGCGCAGACTGGCGGTAATAGGCTCATATAAAACCTAATGCCCCGGGGTGGGAGAATTTAGTTACGGGAAATTATGTTTCAGGTCAAACTCAGGTCCAGCGACTTTCTGTTTGTGTGTGTGTGTGTGTGAGTGTGTGTGTGTGTTTCTATGTGTCCATCTGTTTGTAACTCTGGGTGTCAGTGTAAGTGTATGTGTGTATGTGTGTATGTGTGAGGTCGTTACAACGCATAAATCAGAAATATGTCTGAGTGGTGATATTTTAAAACTGTTCGATTTAGAGAATTAACCGGAATTAGACCTGTCATGATGTCATGTAAAAATGACTGTTATGTAAGACGGTACTATGACTAGTTGTGACACTGACATTATTCCCAGCAGCACTGCAAGGATCACTGATACACTGAAAATATATCTACACCCATACTCGTGATACCCGTATATCAAATCTAACTGCTACAATTCATCACAGCACAATTTGATTTTGTACAAGTTTGAGGCTTCTAGCAAATTACTCTTCATATCCAATAGCATGACGTGTTAAAAATAAAAACAATTTAAACACAAAATATATTTGCCGTACAAGAACTTTAACTGTGCTCAGCTATAAATTAAAAATAACATTAAAAATTAACGAATAGAATAGTAAGAAACATGTTGCTAATTTGCAGACAAAAAATATTGTTATTTACAACATTAATCTATTATGCCGTTTGGTGTGTGTGTGTGTGGGGGGGGGGGGGGGGGGGGTGAATTAGTATGAATGATGTCTTCTCTGTAAACTGACACATTTTAATTAAAATAAAATTTTCCTGTCGGCGCCAGTAATTAATCTTAGATAATTAGTCGGTCCATCTGTTACTGTGTGGATTATCTAAAAATGTGCAACGTTGCATTATTGCAACCTAAATCTGACAATCATGTGTACGTCCCTACCTTGATACTTACAGAATCATCGTCAAACTATCTACTTAATTATACACGACAGTTATATTTTCTATTTTAATAATAACGGAGTATTTATGTAGGTTTATGATTTAGCCAATGGCTCTGTTTTTAAACAAAGGCAGTTATAAATCCACTTGAAAAAGTAAGTCATGAAGGCATGACTTGATTTACTGTATAAATTGAAAATTTCTTATACGAAGCAGATCGCGACATAACAGTCGTACCTTTGATGCAGCGGTCAATTTGTTGTATCATTATTCATGTTGAAGTTTCGACTGGCTTTAAAACCACAATGTGGCTTATTCACTGTCACGAGTTTACAGGGCTGGAAGTGGCCCGCGGTCCGGGGCGAGTTGAGATTTTGAGATTGTAAAATCGATATCCGGCCTTGACGTCACACACCGTATGATGTGTGCATAAACTTGGGCATCCAGGCTTAGTTTCTGTAACTGTGTACACTACTGTGGCCACTCACTCTGATGAGAGCTCTTTACTTAGCTGTGTACACATACTCTAGTTTTTTACTTAGCTGTGTACACATACTCTAGTTTTTTTACTTAGCTGTGTACACATACTCTAGTTTTTTACTTAGCTGTGTACACATACTCTAGTTTGAGGTTCTTTACTTAGCTGTGTACACATACTCTAGCTTGAGTTTATTTTTACTTAACTTTGTACACATACTCTAGTTTGAGTTCTTTACTTATCTGTGTACACATAATCTAGTTTGAATTCTTTACTTAGCTGTGTACACATACTCTAGCTTGAGTTTATTTTTACTTAACTTTGTACACATACTCTAGTTTTAGCTCTTTACTTAACTGTGTACACATAGTTGACCTCTTTACGTAACTGTTTAGAAATACTTTACTACCAGCTCTTTATTTAGCTATGTGCATATATTCTAGTTTGAACTCTTTACTGAGCTGTGTACACATAGTTAACCCCTTTACTTAGCTGTGTACACATATTCTGTTACCAGATTTAGCTGTGTACACATATGCTAATGTGAGCTAGCTACTCAGCTGTGTACAAAGCCCATAAGTATTCCTATCTATGTAAGCAAAAACACAAAAACCAATTATAATTAAAACAATTACATTTCCATCAATCCTGACTTTCATGTGTAATGAAGTCTAATTGTACAATTAATTTGTTGGAGATGTTTCAGTTCTGTAATCCAATCCTAATCTAACGTAAGAACCAGCACAATCAAGCCATGAAACCGGTCGGATTAACGGCGTAATCGGTTATTACAGAGAGACCAGTCTTGCAGTGTAAAGAATAACCCCATTAAATTAAATCTAATTGCTAGCAGTTAACTGGGATTTTTCTTTTCGTGTCGGCTTTCTTGTTCGAATAATCGCAAACGTGGCGTTGTTTTACGGTAATTTTAATGTGTAGCATTGCCGAACAGGTTGCAACACAAGGGCAAATTATGTAGTTACATAAACGCGGTTATTTCCCTTGAATATTGAGCTGAAGGGGAAATAACGTTTTTTTTTTTTAGTGCTATTCACTAATGGTTACATCTGAAGGTTGTAGTTTAACTTATTTATGTACAATGAAGTCATTTGTCTATGCCATTGAAGTATTTATTCAACGAAGAGAAGTGTAGGTTTATATTAACACTAGCATCATAATGCTAGGCTGGTGGTTAAGGACTGCACCGAATGACACCATCGATGGGGGTGACACCAAAAAATAGATTAATAACTTAATAATTATGTCTTTTTTTTCGATTACATAAAAGCTTATTATATATCTTTAGTGATATTACATGGCTGCATTATTCCTTAGCTAATCATTACTGTAACATGTAGGTAGTCTGTAGGTGGTCTGTAGGTGGTCTGTAGATAGTTTGTAGGTGGTCTGTAGGTGGTCTGTAGGTGGTCTGTAGGTGGTCTGTAGGTGGTCTGTAGGTGGTCTGTAGGTGGTCTGTAGGTGGTCTGTAGATAGTTTGTAGGTGGTCTGTAGGTGGTCTGTAGGTGGTCTGTAAGTGGTCTGTAGGTGGTCTGTAGGTGGTCTGTAGGTGGTCTGTAGGTGGTCTGTAGGTGGTCTGTAGGTGGTCTGTAGGTGGTCTATAGGTGGTCTGTAGGTGGTCTGTAGGTGGTCTGTAGGTGGTCTGTAGATAGTTTGTAGGTGGTCTGTAGGTGGTCTGTAGGTGGTCTGTAAGTGGTCTGTAGGTGGTCTGTAGGTGGTCTGTAGGTGGTCTGTAGGTGGTCTGTAGGTGGTCTGTAGGTGGTCTGTAGGTGGTCTATAGGTGGTCTGTAGGTGGTCTGTAGGTGGTCTGAACCAGCATCTGCTCCATACCTTCTCACACCCAACAGCAACACTTGTGTGAAGAAACTTAGAAATACAGACTGTAAGCAAAGTCTATTAGCCTAATTCTATTGACGCTAGTTTATTCCAATAGCTTTTTTGTTATTCGTTGGTCTAAATCTTGTCTTTTTCAATGTATTGGCACGCGGACCTCCACCCACCATCTTAGCATTATGACGCAGTGCCTCTTACTATATCTTTTCTAGTGAGTCACAGAGTTTGGCGTTGGTGTCATCATATATATATATATATATATATATATATATATATATATATATATATATATATATATATATATATATATATATATATATATGTATATATATATATATATACATATATATATATATATATATATATATATATATATATATATATATATATATATATATATATATATATATATATATACATATATATATATATATATGTGGTGTGTGTGTTTGTGTGTGTGTGGTGTGTGTTTGTGTGTGTGTATTAACATTCAAATTCATGTTTTGTGAGTTCCTTGACTAAACAGGCTAAATAAATTTCACGTCACAATAAAAAAAATGTCATTTTTTAGGCTTAAGTCGAACCGTGTATGTCCGTTTTTCTGCCGTACGCTTTTTGTGCTTTCTAAATAAAAATCATTGTTGTGTGATTGTGTGAGTGCGTTTCTAAAATATATATATATATGTACGTTTAACGTATATATATATATATATATATATATATATATATATATATATATATATATATATATATATATATATATATATATATATCCATTTTGTGTATACTCCCGATGATTTACTTCATCAAACTGGATTCACCAAATTGTCAGTGTAAGCTATTAACAGTGGCATGTCCCACCTCCTTATATATGACAATATAGACTGACATACTATTTTATTAAAAAAATAATATAACTCACTTATATACATGTTTTGTTTTAATACATTCAAAGAAGATGAAACGTTTGAATGATATATACATGTTTTATTTTAATATTCAGAAGAAGATAAAACGTTTGAATGATATATAATACACATGTTTTAATGCAGGAAAAAACGGCAGTGTGTGCGATCAATTTGTGATTCTGATAACAAAATTAAGGCGTACAAATTATTTAAGGTAAATATTTATTTAGCTGTGAATTTTAAATACCAAAACGCAATCATGGACCATTTCGAAGCTTCTTACATAATCTAATTTGATTTATTGTACACAATACCTAAAGGGGAGATAACAATGTTTTCTATTTAAAACTTAATACTTCATTGAAACTTGAGATAGTAAATACGAATCAGATTTCATATGAGAAAAATGAAAAATAATTTTAAAAAATAATAAAAAAAACCCAATAATAATTAAAAAAAAACAACATCAGGCTTATGAGAGCAGGGGTGTGGGGTTATTTGTGTGTGGAGATACGAGGGCGAGGGATTAGAGCGGAGGGTAGGTGAAGTAGAACATGGCGTCTTTGTCTAGAGCTTAGACTAGCTGGCCAGTTACATTCATGTTACACACAGGTAATGTCTATCACGTGCGAGTATTGAAGCCACTAATTGTAAGGCGATAGGGTTAGGGTTCAGTTAGTTAATGGGGCTAGGGTTCAGTTAGGGGTCAGGGTTAGGGATCAGTAAGTTAATGCAGGTTTCAGAAGATATTCAGGCATGGCCTAACCATACACTTTTCAACCTAGGCGACATATCTAGTATGCCACCCATTGTGTGTCCTTCACCTAAACCCCCACCCACACACACACACTACCCCACTGTAAAGGAATAAAAACAAACGAACAAGAAAGCGTCAAATTGAATTGAATGCACTCTGGTGAAGATCATTGGTCTAAACTACGGTCGGATTTACTGAAATTTTCTTTGATTGCTAAGCATCTTCTGTTTTCTTTAAAATGTACGCTTGATAATACACAGACAATAAAACATATATTGAAAAAGTTAGCCATAGGAATGGCTTAATGTGTTGGTGTTTAAATCTAAGTAGACCCTGCCTAGCTATCTCAAGGCAGGAGAAACTTGTAAAGTTCTGAGATTTAAATGTCAATTAATTATTTTTTTTTAAACTAGGTACAAAAAATGAGTTTTTACGTTCATTTATAGTGTACACTTTAATTAATAGATTCTACATTTAAATTTTGTTTAAATTCTTGCAGTCTGTGTTGTTAAAAAAATACATATTTTATTTGAATTAGTTTCAGTTTTGTTTTTAAATACAAATATGTGAGCAGTCAATTGTGTTTGATTAACTGTTCTGAATTCATCTTGCCATAATAGATGAAAATAGAAGCAGAAAAAAATACTCTTTGATGATAGAGATGAAGGCACGGTTGATGAATTAGCAGTAATGATTAAAAAGTAAAGTCTTCCGAATGTCATTATGGCAAAATCATTGTAAAGATAGCCTACTTAAAAACAACAAAAAATAAAAAACTTAAAACTAACAAAAATGAAAAAATTCAATAAATATGTACACATGAACGAAACAATGTTGTTTGAAAATCTCTAGCCTATAGCAGGTTCTAGAATGACAAACGTTATAAACCTCACAGCGTCTCTCCTTCCTTCTCTTTCATGATTGTGTAGAAAAAAATATATCTTTTTTCTGTTCATTTTGATGTTATTGCATGATAAGGTTAATAAGACAAAAATAGACTGTTTGAAATAAGATAATGATAATAATAAAAATATTAATTATATTTATCAGGGGAATCCCAGTGTAAATATTTGAATAAATGTGTAAATAAATGTACAATAAAAGACATTCGTAGTTTTTGGTGGTGCTTGGTGGTGCTTCCAGGCCGTTTATGTGTCTTAGAAGATTGATGAGGCGCCTCTGGTAGGTCATAATCAGGTGAGTAGAATGGCAATATGACACGTGTTCAGATGAGTCACATCGTCAGGTCATTCATATGGCCAGATCAGAAATAAGACTAGGTAAGACATGTGCCCAGGTGAGTCATACGGTCTTTAAGTTATTCAACCAAGTAATATGTTTGGCCAGGTGAGACGTAAAGTCAGGCTAAGTTTGTCAGGTAAGTCAGATGGCAAGCTGAGTCATTTTACCTGTGTGCCGTTTGATCAGGTGATACTTATAAGACAGGGTGAGTCATATGACTAGGTGAATTATATGGTCAATTTAGTCCTGTGTACAGATGAGTTACATGATCAAATGTGTCATTTAACCAGTTGAGTCATTTAACCAGGTGAGTCATTTAACCAGGTGAGTCATTGAACCAGGTGAGTCACTGAACCAGGTAAGTCATTGAACCAGGTGAGTCACTGAACCAGGTGAGTCATTGAACCAGGTGAGTCATTGAACCAGGTGAGTCATTGAACCAGGTGAGTCATTGAACAGGTGAGTCATTGAACCAGGTGAGTCATTGAACCAGGTGAGTCATTGAACCAGGTGAGTCATTGAACCAGGTGAGTCATTGAACCAGGTGAGTCATTGAACCAGGTGAGCCATTGAACCAGGTGAGTCATTGAACCAGGTGAGTCATGGAACCATGTGAGTCATTGAACCAGGTGCATCATTGAACCATGTGAGTCATTGAACCAGGTGCATCATTGAACCAGGTGAGTCATGGAACCATGTGAGTCATTGAACCAGGTGCATCATTGAACCATGTGAGTCATTGAACCAGGTGCATCATTGAACCAGGTGAGTCATGGAACCATGTGAGTCATTGAACCAGGTGCATCATTGAACCATGTGAGTCATTGAACCAGGTGCATCATTGAACCAGGTGAGTCATTGAACCATGTGAGTCATTGAAGCAGGTGAGTCACTGAACCAGGTGTAACCCTGTCTGTATGCTCAGACCTGTTGACCCAGTTCCTCCCTCTCTGACCCATCGGTGTCCTGGGTGATGGGGTTCTCTATGTATGACGTAGTGGGGGTCAGCTTGTTCTTGCGTGACTGTGCGGCTATGAGGGTGGGCTGGGGGAGGCCACACAGGGACATCTTGGCCTCCCTTTCGGGCGTCATGTTGAGGACACTCATAGAGTGGTAGTCTCGCTCACGTGATATGTACGATTCTGGACAAGAGAAATACAAGTTCATTTAGGTATAATATAGATGAAAATCATAACAGTACTATCTCTCACGACAGATGAACGATTTCGGGCTATAGGATAAAAGTACATTTAGGCATAGAGGAGATAGCTGATGGAGTTGTAGACTCTCTCTCACAGGCGATTATTACTATTTGCAAAGTAGTGCATTTATGAATAAGGTATTTGAAGAACAAGAATCAATACTGAAAAATTCGAGTTCGATTTATGGGAAAGTCCTAAAGAAATCAATGTCATTTTAGCTCTAATGGTCTGAGATCGGTGAAAGTAAAATAGACTGGATGTATCATGGATGTACACAATTTCTCAAGAGAGTCAGCATGACTTTTATTAATTGTTTTCATTTTAAAATGTATTAAAGATCTTTAAACAATGAGATGGTTTAATAGGTTAGTTACGTTAAAGTACTAAGCAAATTAAAAAGATGGCTTATGTAAGGGAGGTGACTTCAAGAATATTAGAAAATACGTTTATTCACTGTTATCTACCCTTAAAAGTTATGTTAGTACTATTACAAAAATCATATGATTTTATACGTTTCGAAAACATTTTTATATTCAATTGCACCAGCTATTGGCATATTTAAAAAAAAAATCTTTTTTAAACTAATTATCACAAATTGAATGCATAGTTCTAAAACTTAGAGAAAGATTACATTATAAATGTATAAGTCTGTGTAGAGAGGAAAAATTCTAATAAGCAAATCTAGAATAGTTCAGTTCACATGTCAGACTCTCTTTTGGCAAGTTATTGTCGAGGGACAAAACAACCACTAAACCGAAAGTTTTAAGTTTGGTTGGCAGGCGCGAGACCATAGGACGTCAGTGAGTCCATCCAGCTATAAAAAGTACCTAACTTAAATTAGAGAAAAATTATTGTCTGGCCTGGAACATTGCTGACCATCCAGCCCCTTCTTATACCCAGTAAAATAAAATTGATAAACCGAGTTATTTGTTATTTACGGACAGTAGGTCCATAGTGGAAATGGTGGAGGCTCTATGTGCCATAAGGAGCAAAGAGGACTAAGTAAGTCAAAGCCTATAGTACTGGCCAGTAACCTTGGAAAATATCGTAACCTATAAACGTGACACCTAAAACCTAAACAACCCCACTGCGCATGTCACAGTGGGAGTAATCCTTCTTACTACTTAGCGCCATCTGCCGGCGAGTCGCAGGGACCTCACTCTGAGAGAGGAAATACGACGATGTCCTTGAACTCTGCCGGCGTGACCTCTTGCCCATGGCCCTGTTAGTGCGGCATCGCCTCCATTTTTTCTTAATTGCGTTCTGGACCTGGTACCAATTAAAAAATAAAAATAAAAACTAGATTGTTTTTTACCCCGAAACGTTTCACCAAACTACGCTAACATTTATTTACTGTTATGCTTCATCTACTGGCACTGTAACCAAAGTATCGTTTTTCTATCAAGTGAGTCAATTTCTGCCATAGCTGGTTTATTATCCATGTTGAGCACCAAGTGCTTATTAAAAATCAACAGCAATCATCCTAATCGATATCCAATTTGGTGGTTTATTTATGGAGACATATAATTGGAAAGCTGAAAGCTACACTTTTTACTGTGAATTTAGGAATGGAAAATGGATTCTAGATAAAATTGATCGATACATCATAAACTCATTAATTCCACTAAATCACATGGTTTTAAGCACAAAAATAATCACTAACTAACTGCTCGCTAATCGTAAGAAGGCTTATAGGCATGGGTGGATTTAGGGGTGCTTACAGGATACTGATTATTTACAAATCACGTAGACACCCCACCCCCACCCACTCCTCACCTTTCAGACTACAGGCTAAGCCGCGTATTCATTCAGTCACTTACCTCTGAATTAATAAAACAATATAACACAGAGACGAAGATGCCCTGTGGAGAAATCGTACATGTTGTCAAATATATATATATATATATATATATATATATATATATATATATATATATATATATATATATATATATATATACAATCCATATATATACTACTATATATATGTATGTATATTTATAGTTAAGTATAAGATAAAGCACATAAGGACCAAGAAGAATACTAGTTATATGTGAAACACAATCTAATCCATTCCCAGAAGAGAGAAAGTTTCCATTATGCCTAATGGATCCATACTCTCAAAACTTAAGAACCTCATTATAAGCATTATCCCATAACCTTTTATCGTGAACATTTAGGAAGTTTAACTAGTACTGAATATTTAACTACAAGATTTTTTTTTTCTTCATTTCAGATTAGTCAACAGAGGAGGAGAGTTCACTCACTAATCAATAAACATTAGGACGGATCCTATTCTAGTTCTATTTTTAGATTCGTGAAGAAATCTTAAATGAGTTAATCTTAAAGAGAAATATCACACCTTAAAGACAGACCGATAAGGGTCTTACCTCATAGTTTTTACCTACCTGCAGGTAGTTAGATGCCTTACATCTTAGTCAATTAGAGTTCTTACGTCACATACAATTAGTTTGAGATCTAACTTCATATAAAGGTATCAAAAGTGTCTACCTTATATACAGTGAGTAAGAGGTCTAATATAACTCAAATGAGAGGGAGGTAAAATAAGGTCTCACCTGACATGCATGTACTATAAAGTCTCATCTGACATGCAGGTACTATAAAGTCTCACCTAAAATGCAGGTAAAGTCTCACCTGACAAACAGGTACTATAAAGTCTCACCTGACATGCAGGTAGTATAGAGTCTCCCCTGACATGCAGGTACTATAAAGTCTCACCTGACATGCAGGTACTATATAGTCTCACCTGACATGCAGGTACTATAAAGTCTCACCTGACATGCAGGTACTATAAAGTCTCACCTGACATGCAGGTACTATAAAGTCTCACCTGACATGCAGGTACTATAAAGTCTCACCTGACATGCAGGTACTATAAAGTCTCACCTGACAAGCAGGTAGCAATGCATTCAACACCCTGAAGGCCCTGGTCAGATTATCGTTGTTGACGGGCTGGGCAAGGAAGAGAAAATTGGCCACGCCCAGCAAGGGCAGTAACAACACAGTAGCTTTAATCGCCTTCCTGTGGGGGAAATATTTGAGGCCTACACCCTTTCATCATGTTTCAACACAAATAAAAGCATGTTTTGGTTATTTACATTTCTTTTTGTGACTTTTACTTTCGAAACATTTAGATGGGTGAAATTACAATTTTTTTTATAAATTGAACTTTTGTGTGTAATGGTTATTGCTTTCGTTTAATTACAAGCTGAATTCCAATATTCCTTGAAGTTTTTTGGAATTAAATTTAAATAGAAAGTTAAATTTAAAAAAAAACTAATTCCAGGCAAGACGAGTTAATCAATCATTGGACTGACCTTATTCGTCGTGATTCCATTAGATTGTTATTTCGTAGTTTGACCACAAGCACTCGTATGATATTGACCAGAAAGGCACAATTAAACTGGAAAATAAAGGCACAATTAAACTGGAAAATAAAGGCACAATTAAACTGGAAAAATAAAAGCATAATTAAACTGGAAAATAAAGGCACAATTAAACTGGAAAATAAAGGCACAATTAAACTGGAAAATAAAGGCACAATTAAACTGGAAAATAAAGGTACTATTAAACTGGAAAATAAAGGCACAATTAAACTGGAAAATAAAGGTACTATTAAACTGGAAAATAAAGGCACAATTAAACTGGAAAATAAAGGCACAATTAAACTGGAAAATAAAGGCACAATTAAACTGGATAATAAGGGCACAATTAAACTGGAAAATAAAGGCACAATTAAACTGGAAAATAAAGGCACAATTAAACTGGAAAATAAAGGCACAATTAAACTGGATAATAAGTGCACAATTAAACTGGAAAATAAAATTTACAAAAAGGCGCCATTAAAATAAATGGAAAATAATATTCAACAAAAGGCATAATTAAACTGGAAAGCAAAATTCACTGGGAAGGCTTCTTTTCTTCTTCGTTCTTAATTATTTAGAAGGCTAAATTAAAGGATAAATCTATCTAACAATGCTTTCATTGCAAGAAGCTAAGAGGGTTTGCTTTAAAAAAATTATTGAAATTGTGCTCTTTTGTCTGTCTTAAATCCGGTGCAAACTTTAGTTTGTCCGCTAATTAATAGTATCTGTATCTGCCAATGGGTGCTCTTTTGTCCGTCTTAAATCCGGTGCAAACTTTAGTTTGTCCGCTAATTAATAATATCCATATCTGGCAAGTCAGGGTTGACCTTTACCAAAACCAGAAAGTAAAAAAAAAATGGTGGCATAGAATACTAGGCCAAGAGAAACAAATATTGGAATAGAGGAAAATGATGCGCGTGAGGGTGTGTGAGTCTGTGTGTGTGGAGGGTTGGGGGGGGGGGTATGTCTGGTCCAGGATATCGGTCAGTGATGGCTGCCACTAACAGCTGACTTCACTAAACAAGATAAACCGTTTTTATTGTATTTTTTAAACAGAAAATTTTAAGTCTTTTTTGTCTTTAATCCAGTTGAAACTCCACAGCAGGGGGGAAATATTAAGTTCTTCTTAGCTTACATTTTTTAACCTATGGCACACTTTCAAGAGGCCTATGTGTGTTGCAGTACCAATCGTAAGTAGAATGTATCATCTACTTATATATGAATATACATATCTATATACTTAATATACACCTAGATAGGCTATATACATAGCTCTCTTTTTCCTCAAAACCAGGCTGTTATAATTCCGTATTATAAATTTTTTTTAAGGTCTCAACACAATTTTGCCACGCTAAAAATAACATTGTAAAAAATAATATAGTGATCACACTACAATTCCATTTCCCTTCGAGCTTATTATAAAAAAAATGTTAGGACATCAAAACTTTAAAAGCCTTGAAATGAACATATTACAAAAATTGAGTTTTAGCAGACTGATATTGGGGAAGCGATATATATATATATATATATATATATATATATATATATATATATATATATATATATATATATATATACATTCATAGGTATATTATCATGTTGTTGTTGTCTTAAATAGTGATAGTGAACATTTCTCCATTTATACTATTTTATATCGTACCCTAGCACACCCAACCCAACCCCCACCCCACCCAACCCCACCCATTACCACAGAACCACCATCGTATGTTTACCGTCTAGTACTCAGATTACCCACATTAAAATGAATACAAATCCATCAGAAAGTCAGCTCCTATTTTACAGGTGAATGGGTGATCATCACCACGTTAGTGTCGCCTCTATTCACTTTGTACATTTCCCTTCTATTCACTCTTTACATTCCCAAGGCTTACAAGGTCAACCTTACTAGCTAAATTAGGATTTTCTTTCTGCTCCAAATTACAACGAAATTCAATCATTAAATCCTTATAAGGTTTAGGCAATATGTTTGTATACTGTCTGGGAATTTATTTTTTTTAAATTAAATTTAAAAGTTTCATATTTTTAGTTACAGTTGTGGGCAAGCGAACCAAATCTGTGCACGAGTTAGTTCAGGTATCAAGCAATGTGAGGTCACGTGGAAATCTCGTTTTGATCTCGCCGTCTGAGACTTGAATGTTTTTCGGACTTCAAAAATGTGAACTATAGATTGATGTGGAGTAAATCAACTACAAAATGCGAGTTTATATGACCGGACAAGTAATAAACTGGCGTATAGAGAGGGTGGGAGTTAGAAATGAAACTTCCTGGTTTGCCGAATTTATCCTGGTTTGCCGAAAAAATTCTAGTTAGTCGAATATATCCTGATTTGTCATCATTATAGTAGCGTAGTGTAAGTGACTTAAGTTGAAAATTCGATTTTACCAGGGTCAGAGTTTCTTCCAGGCATCTCTTCGTGAAGGGGGGGGGGGCTTAACCCCCCCCCCCCCCCCCGAAAAAGTCAAACTTCACCCCGCCCCCCCCACCCCACCCCCGGAAATTTTAGTCCAGGGACATCAACATTTGTTTTTAGATATCCAATCGGTGAACTTGTCTCAGTTGTGTATTGTGTTTGCTTATCGTTGTCGTGTGGCATTGTTGATCTTTCTTCAAGAACTCTCCCCCAAATCTATACCGGAGAAAAAGAAGAATTGCGAAATGTAATCAATGTGTACGCAAGCCGGACGACAAGAATAGAGTGAGGGGGTGGGGGTGGGAGGGGTGTGGCCTTCTGGTATTTAATTACACCTTCCCCTTGGTCGGGTCTGACGCGGGCCTCACCATTCTTACCCTGGGTTTGGGTGACATTGACGTGGTTCTGATCGATGGGGGGTGGGGGCGGGGGTGGGGGAATGGGAGTCCAACGTCAACTTGTCATTAGGGGGTTTAGTAAGTGGGGATCTAAACAGCACGAACTCTACGGCTCACGTGAACTTCTCATTCGCAGAGTTACAAAATTGGGGATCTAAACACTAACGATGGGACTAGAGCCCATTTTATCAGTTGGGGGTAGGGGTGGAGGGGTACTCGGTAATGTAATTGTTGAACTTGACCTGAAAATAACTTGTTATTCTTCGGGATCTTGTTAAAAGTAGGACGAAAATCCATTTTTCATTAGGACAGGAAAGGGCAATGTCCTACAAAAATGTAGATCTTGACCGAGAATCATCGTGAACATCTTGGAGTGATTTGAAATCTAAATATTAGCTACAGTCAACTAATCATAAAACGATAATCAATATTACTTTCTTACTAAGGGTATAATTGAATTAGAAAATCGGCAACGGATCTTAAATCCTGGCTCTATGTAGGCCATGTTCTTTATTAAAGCTGGTGTTGTTCTGACCGTTGACCCTTAAGAACTCGGGTCTGAAGGGGCTGTAGCACCAGCTAGTAAAACATGGGGGAGGAGACGCGGCCGTGCAAATAGACACAGTGGTACCACAGCCAGGGGCAGTGAGCAGCGGCTCATTTGCATCTGGTGAAAGTAAAAAGATGAAGCTGGCTATGGGCACGAACTTTGGATGTTGACAGTGGCTTGATGTGGGACCCGAGTGAGAATTTGGTGAATCATAGGCTAACAACACCGTGGACCTATTGACCGGTGGAGGGAGGGGGAAGGGAGTTGATAGTAAGTTGTAAAAAAATAGCGTAGGCCCATTTTGTGTACTGTACTTTAAGCCAAATTTTTTATTAGTTCGGGACGGGGTTAACCAGATTTTTTTCTTCTAGGACGAATTTTTTATTTTATTTTTGTAGGCGGGGAAATAATCTACAGCCGTACTTAATACCAAGGGCAGAACTGAATAGACAAGGGCAGAGCTGAATGGACAAGGGCAGAGCTCAGTAGCCCAGGGCACGTCGAGTCATGAGATTGATACCTAACCTATTATGGTCACTTTGCACTCCCCATAACTCCACACAACCGGCCGATTCTGATTCGTCTCAACAGCAAAAAGGAAAAAAATCGATACCAGACGTATTCGGTTACCACCTCTCGGGCCGGCGATACCACGATCTATAACCTGACGTGCCGATGTAAGAGTGAGTGCTTTAATCCGCCCCTGTTGGTTACGTCACATTACAGTTTAGGTGAGGCTAACCCGCGAGTTTAATCACAATTACCCCATTGACGTTTTACCTGATAAGTGACGGCCTCGTTTAATCAGTGGCTTATAACCTGCAGGAAGATTAAGGTGTGGGTTGATTTGACAGAATCATTTGGTTATAACCTGCATGAAAGATCGCCGTATGGATTTATTTTGACAGCTCAATCGGGAGTTATCGAATGGTGGAGCCATTTCAAAAGAGAAAATTCAAAATTATTACATTGATCAAAGTTTATAGTCAAATTTATTATATTTTCTCACTCTCTCTCTATCTCTCTCTTTCTCTCTCCCTTTATATATATATATATATATATATATATATATATATATATATATATATATATATATATATATATATATATATATATATATATATATATATATATATATATATATATATATATATATAAAACATTTTAATGGCAGAAGGTATAAAAAATTTGTTCTAGCAGGCTCCAGATTGTTCAGGAAAAGGAAATGATTCCTCGCTTAGGTAATGACCAAGTTAATCCTAGAAGATCATCCGGTAATCTCCCCAGTGCTAATAAGTCTACAGAGGTCAGCTGGCACTTTGGTAGAGACACCTACGTCACCGTCACGCTGGAATCGATTACCTCGGGTGTACTCTATCATCGTTACTTGGTTAGGTCCGAATACGATCTAGTGCATTCAAGTCATTCGTCTGTATTTGTGTCTTTCTTATAGTTACTGTATCGGCGCTAACGTAACATTTGTTTGACAAAAACTAAATAAAGTTCAGTCTGATATTTGCATACATGTTTAACGTGGTCCTCTATGTCTTTACATTACCACAGTAACTGCATTAGTAAGCAAAACTGCACTTTGCATAGTGTTATTGTGTTTAACACTTGGGATGGAGACGTTTGTTACAGTTATAAACGGGAGGTCCGATGTTTTTTACGGAAAGCCACTTGCCCGAAGGCCGTTTCTTAATCATTTCGAAATTGACATTTTTCGGTCGAATTTAAGCATTTGTCCCATTCGGTCAAGTGTCCATTCTGGAAAACTTACATCGGACAAACGTCCTTTAGGGCAAGTGTCTTTTGGGAAGTTAGTCTTGGACCCGTGAAAAACGCACATTTTCATTGAATCAAATATTGAATTCCGGTAGAGATCATTTAATCGCTGCATATACATGTCTTTGATAACTAGATGCACTCATTTGTACACATTACATATGAAAATGTTAATTAGAGCTAATTAGTTTAAATTAGATTTACGACTATCCGTTTTCAAGAGCAGTTACTTGATCCTTTCTTAGCCAACCGTGACATTTACGACAGACGGTTATTTAAATTAGGTATATTGGGAAATGAATTGAGTTTAAAACTAAGTAGAGAATAGATTACTAAAGAAAACTAAATTGACATATCTTTTCAAATTTCCTGAGCAGTTTCAAAATGTAATCATCTTTTTTAATGAAAGTTAAGGGGGATAACTATCATGAGTATGTTCATGACATTAATCTCCCTTGATTCAAAGTATACATGCACCAACCATTTGAAAATAAAAATTGCTAGTTTTTTTAATACTATATTTTCAAACTATTTCTAATACTATATATGCCAACGAATTATTCCATGATCTCATAAGTTGAGTGAATGTTTGATGTGGTCACTATTTTCTGGTACACAACATTCGAGAGCTCGCCATCAAATATTCACACTTGACTGAGCAGAGGGAAATTTGACCTTTACAACTCACGCATGACTGCACGTGCATAATTGTCCGGCATCGATCCTACGCTCGATGCGTTTTAAAATGATCCCCCTGTCATTAGAACTATGTCCGAGGAAGCTATGAGACGAGGACTGAATGAGCTGTTTAGTAAATCAAATGTCGTGTCCTATCTCTAAAGTAGAGCGTTGAATGTCCGTCTCGATAACAGACGCACGTAAATGATAATTTCATCGTGTCGTACTTGTTATGCTTGGGGTATTAAAAAAATGGGCACTGCGTGAATTGACAGCCGCGGTAATAAAGTAGGTCGAAAAACACAGCGTTAAATTAGATTGGTTGAACTGCCGAACTATGTTCCAAAAACTGGTCCAACAGCAAAAAAGTTATGCAATGTTCCAAAAATTAATCAAACAGCCATACAGTTATTTAAATTATGTTCCAAATATTGGTGTTAAACAGCCATACATTTAAACTATGTTCTAAAAATTGGTTAAACAGTTACTTGGTTTAAGTCAGTGTCGAACTTTAAATTAACAACATAATTTAAAATTATAAATCTAATCTTGGTTTAACAATACAGCTTTAAACTATGTGTCAGACCTTGGTTTAACAATGCAGGGTTTACTACGAGTGAAGATTTGGATTAACCCCACAAAGTTGAACTAAGTGTTAAACCTTAGTTTAACATGCAGCGTTAAACTACGTATCGAAACTTGGTAAAAATACTTTTCGAACCTTGGTTTGACAATGCAGCGTAAAACTATCTGTGGAACCTTGATTTAATAACACAGCTTTTACGTGTTGAACCTAGGTTTAACAACACAGTTTTAAAGTACGTTTCGAGCTTTGGTTTAACAAAGCAGCGTTAAATTACGTGTTAAACGGTTTAACCACACAGTACTAAGCCACGTGCCAAACAAACACTGGAAAGTACACACAACGAAAATGAACAATCAATACAACGGAAATCTCGTCTCACGTGAAACTACCACGAGACTATGTTCTGGAAAAAGTAGCACACGGATGCTAACCGGATATGGAGGTTAGTGTTACGACTGTAAACACATGCTAAACTGAGGGGAAGACAACAAGTGAATCATCTGCTTTACTAGCGTTATTTATGTCAGAGTTTGCTGTGTTGTAAATTTACAACATAGTCCGTTTATAAAGCATGTATGTGGTTGTATACGACCGCCTATGTTTTTAACAGACAGAGATTCTTTACTGGGAATAAATTAATACTGTAAGGGTTAGTAAATAGTGATTAAAGTGAGGAAAGGGCAACAATTTGATGCCTATTGTGATTCTTATTAGAAAAGGGCAACTTATTGCCAGAGTGATTACGATGGACGAAAGGCAACTTACTGTCAGGGTTATAACGATGGACAAAGGGCAACTTACTGACATTGTGATTAAGTTGGACAAAAGGCAACTTACTGACATTGTGATAAAGTTGGACAAAAGGCAACTTACTGACATTGTGATAAAGTTAGACAAAAGGCAACTTACTGACATTGTGATAAAGTTAGACAAAAGGCAACTTACTGACATTGTGATAAAGTTAGACAAAAGGCAACTTACTGACAGTGTGATTAAGTTGGACAACAGGCAACTTACCGCCAAGGCGATTATGATGGGGATGAAGATGATTAAGATGAGTTTGTTCTTGGCGTAACCTTGCCAGCAGGCCTCGTGGTGATCACGTGACATAAGCCCCGCCCAGAGCCCCGTAAACAGCACAGGTAGACCTGCAGGTGAACAAGCACAGGTGAAACATTCGCAGGTGACTCAGGTACAGGTGAAACATTCACAGGTGACTCAGGTACAGGTAAAACAGGTAGTTAAATCATTACTCTCTTCTCACATTCAGGTAGATAAACAATTAGGATCATATCTGTAACCATTATCTTCTACAGGTAAAATCGCAATTAAGAATATCTGTAACTATTCTCATTATCAGGTAGATTAACAATTTTGATCAAATCGGCAAACATTCTCTTCTACGCGTACTATCACAATTAAGAATATCTGTAACTATTCTCATTATCAGGTAGATTAACAATTTTGATCATATCTGCAAACATTCTCCTCTACAGGTAGTATCACAATTAAGAATATCTGTAACTATTATCTTCTACATGTAATATAGCAATTAAGGATATCTGTAACATTTCTCTTCTACAGGTAATATCGTAATTAAGAATATCTGTAACTATTATCTTCTACAGGTAATATCGTAATTAAGAATATCTGTAACTATTCTCATTATCATGTAGATTAACAATTAGGGTAATATCTGTAACATATCTCTTCTACGGGTAAAATAACACTTAGTAATCCCTATACGTTATAATATCTGCAGGTACAGGATTATGTCGATAGCTAGTAATGCTCACAGAATTGACAAAACCATAACCAATGCCATATTTTAAAATTAGCATAATTCCCTAATGCATTCTATCATCAATATTACTCAATTATAAGAAAAAAATGAATGTAATGAAATTTAGTCAATTCATTAACTTTACAACATCATTAACTGATTAAGAAAGCTTTAAAAATATTTTTTAAGAAATTTGAAAATTTGAAAATTCAACAATTTTATTTTAAATCATAAAAGGAAGTTCAGGATTTATTTATGAGCACTTAGGGTCACGAAGTAATATTTTAAACTTAAAGACAAGGACAAGGAACTTCAAGAAAATGGGAATTGAAAATTGTAAGGATATTTTTAATTTAAAAAAACCGAACATATTTCTTAGCCGTTAACCGGAAGTACGGCTAACCTTGGGCGGAGGTTTGAACGGAAGGACATTAAAGTAGAAATCAATTTAAAATTTGGGAGAGATGAATTGACAATAATGAATGTGGTTTTTTTTTTAAGGTTGGATGATATTAAATTTCTAATAGGGTGAAGTCATTATGGCCCCTTCATACAAGCAGTGCAAGATAAGCATAATATGCATTTCAAATTAGCACGTGAATTCGGGTTGGGAGGGGGGGGGGTGTGAAGGTAGGGGACTATAGGCTGTCGTTTGCAGTTTGCACTGCTTGCCATTGCCTCAATTTAAAAAAAATCTCTTCTATTTATTATAATATTTTAAAAATCAAATAAGAAATGTTAAGAATAAAAACGTACGCAGCTTCAAAGTAGGCTTTGAAAATAAAATGATAGCCTTCTTGAAAATCGTTAAAATTTCAAGTTTTTGAAAATTTCATTTGAATTGAAAATAATTTCCCATCTAATTGTGTTAGGAATGAACATTACCTGTTATTACAATAATAACTGGCGTTTTAACTCGCATTTTAACTGCCTTTGACGTTAGTTTCGAATTTTAAAAAAATGTTTTTAAATTTATTTATTTTGTTAAATAAACTGTTTTCGCTCCACTCAATTAGCGTATTTTTTGGCAAGGCAATTAGCTCATTTGATTACGTTTTTCCTTCATTAAAATTAAGTAGTCAACACTGCACGCTATTGACGTTAAATAATGCACACGTTTTATTGGCAAGACAGAACAGTTGTGTTCAGGATTTTAGGCGTTCGGCTAAGGAACATTCCAAATCCCAAATGTTTCAGAGTACGAGCGTTTCAAATTTTAAATCCTTCGCATAACGAACATATACTTAAATATGTTCGGATTAAGAATGAAAAGGATAAATGCTTCTGATTATGAACGTATACCTTTTGGTTTTAAATAGTTTCGAACAAAGAATATTCCAATATAGATATGTTCCGGATTTCGAATCCAACTTGTTGCGAACTTTCAAGACTACGAATTTCCAACATAAAAATAAGTTTCGGAAATCGAATTTCCGGAGGAAGTATTTCTTAAATTACATCTGAACAGGTTATACAATATTCCCGAAGTACACACTTCCAGAGTAACTCTGTATATGTCTATGTGTGTGGGGGGGGGGGGGGGGTGGTGGTGACCTACCCCATCCGATGAAGTAGAAGGTTTTGAAGGGGGCAGCCGAGGGGAAGACGGTGACCACCAAACGGTTGTGAAGATAAATCCCCTCCACCAGCATCCAGGCAAAGTTGGCCATTTGGGAGTATTTGGCCACCGTCACCACGGCCCTACACAGCCACTCCTGAAATACAGATCAAGTTTACTGCATGAGACATTTAGAATTGTTGTGTGAACACTGCTTTAGAATGGTATTATTTCTTTTAGAAAAAGTGTGCATACCGCATTAAAATAATTTTAAACTGCTTTAGAATGGTATTATTTCTTTTAGAAAAAGTGTGCATACTGCTTTAAAATAATTTTAAACTGCTTTAGAATTTTGTTCCAACATTGTGGTACCTAAATTGTAATTTTGTATAAAGCAGTATGTACACTTTCTTACACTACTCTATAAAAGTAGTATTTATACATTATTTTTACAACCGAGGAAGATGAAGTAGAATGCCTATTCAATTTGTCTTGGGCCCTTTTGGTGCGTCATACTAGTATAATAATGTCTTTGTTATCCTTGCATCTAATTCACGCCAGTAGCCTGCCTTGAATACTTATATATCCAACACGAAATTGGAAAACTAACTGGTACTCTGACATCGGAACTAAAGTATTTGTATACAACGAGTACAAAATATTGACCGGTATGTTCAATATTAAGAGACGTTCATAGCTAGACTGCACTTGAACTTTGAATATTTTTTCCCGATTAGACCTCGTTATAACCAAAATATTCTTGAAGTCTGTGTCTTAAAATGTGATGTTTTATAGCTGGATAACTAGGCAACGTTTCGAGAATGATATAAAGTAAAAAATTTTTAAATAGAAAATGGAACGTCAAAATTGAAATGTTAAAAATATAAAAATCTGGCATACAAGTGAACTAATGGACGGTGTGCCCGACTTGTCAGGGTGCATTTCCTAAGGGACACAACACCGCACTCTTAAACATTTCTTGTCATTTTAAACTGCTCAGAGAATTAGGTTAGAGACAGACGTTTGGTGTACTTTGTTTTAGGCTTTTCGGGACGGTGAGGTAGACACAATTATAATGTGTGAGGCTTAGAGTCTGAGCCTTAGAGTAGTTTTTGTAGACTTGGAATATTATGCAGGAATTATGAGATTGGTTTGTCTGTTAGGGATAATGCATAAAGGGAAAAAAAGGTATTTTTTCTTAAGATGCTAGGTTTGTTTGTCACGTGGTGTGAAAAAGATTTATCTTAGGGTGTGTGTTAGGTTAGTCTTAAGGAGTGTGGTAGGTTTATCTTAAGGTGTGTGGGAGGTTTGTCTTAGGGTGTGTCTTAGGTTAGTCCTAGGAAAGGTAGTATTATTTTCTTTAGATTTCTGGTAGGCTTGTCTTATTATGTACAGTCAGTATGTCTTAAAATAGAGGTTTATCTTAGGAGGGTGACAGATTTGTCTTCAAGTGTGGTATGCATGTCTTAGGGTGTGTAGTAGGTTAGTCTTAAGAAGGGTAATATTATTTTCTTTAGATTTCTGATAGGCTTGTATTATATGTGGTTGGTTTCTCTTAGGGTGAGTGGTAGTTTTGTCTTAAGGTGTGTGGTAGGTTTGTCTGTTAGAAAGTCAGGTTTGTAATGTGAGTGAGGTTCCTACATGAAGGTTCTCATTGACAGCAATTGTGTTTAACCTGTCACCACCTATAGTGGAAGATGGTTTAACCTGTCACTTACAATATCTCTAACGGTGGGTGGTTTAACCTGTCACCACCTCTAATGTAGGATGGTTCAACCTGCCACTTACAATATCTCTAATGTAGGGTGGTTTAACCTGTCACTTACAATATCTCTAATATAGAAAGGTTTAACCTGTCACTACCTTCGATAGAGAATGGTTTAACCTGTGACTTACAATATCTCTAATGTAGGATGGTTTAACCTGCCACTTACAATATCTCTAATGTAGGAAGGTTTAACCTGTGACTTACAATATCTCTAATGTCGGGTGGTTTAACCTGTGACTTACAATATCTCTAATGAAGATGGTTTAACCTGTGACTTACAATATCTCTAATGTCGGGTGGTTTAACCTGTAACTTACAATATCTCTAATGAAGATGGTTTAACCTGTGACTTACAATATCTCTAATGTCGGGTGGTTTAACCTGTAACTTACAATATCTCTAATGTAGGATGGTTTAACCTGTTACTTACAATATCTCTAATGTCGGTTGGTTTAACCTGTGACTTACAATATCTCTAATGTAGGATGGTTTAACCTGCCACTTACAATATCTCTAATGTCGGGTGGTTTAACCTGCCACTTACAATATCTCTAATGTAGGATGGTTTAACCTGCCACTTACAATATCTCTAATGGAGGGTGGTTTAACCTGTCACAACCTCTAATGGAAATGGTTTAACCTTCGACTTACAATATCTCTAATGGAGATGGTTTAACCTGCCACTTACAATATCTCTAATGTAGGAATGTTTAACCTGCCACTTACAATATCTCTAATGTAGGAATGTTTAACCTGTGACTTACAATATCTCTAATGTAGGATGGTTTAACCTGTGACTTACAATATCTCTAATGTAGGATGGTTTAACCTGCCACTTACAATATCTCTAATGTAGGATGGTTTAACCTGCCACTTACAATATCTCTAATGTCGGGTGGTTTAACCTGTCACTTACAATATCTCTAATGTAGGAAGGTTTAACCTGCCACTTACAATATCTCTAATGTCGGGTGGTTTAACCTGCCACTTACAATATCTCTAATGTCGGGTGGTTTAACCTGCCACTTACAATATCTCTAATGTCGGGTGGTTTAACCTGCCACTTACAATATCTCTAATGTAGGATGGTTTAACCTGCCACTTACTATATCTCTAATGTAGGAATGTTTAACCTGTGACTTACAATATCTCTAATGTAGGATGGTTTAACCTGTGACTTACAATATCTCTAATGGAGATGGTTTAACCTGTGACTTACAATATCTCTAATGGAGATGGTTTAACCTGTGACTTACAATATCTCTAATGGAGAAGGAGTTTGACTGAACCTGGAACACGCTAATGCTGAAGCTGATGATGAAGGACACAACCAGATGCTTGTGGATTGAGATTCTGCTGCACTGAATTGATCTGTGAGGACAAACATGCTCGTTCAAACAAAGTTCATTTACAGACGTCAACACTTGCTTAATAAGAATTCAAAGTTTCAATTTTAACAGTAACATGTATAAAATAAATTTTAAATAACATGTGTTGTGATATGAAATAATACAACGGAGTATGTGTAGCTTATTCGTGTAGTGTTTTACTGTGGCGATACCGTGTGATGTTGGGGACAGCGAAGTATTAGTCTGTGTTGTGATATGAAATATGTGAATGGTATGTATGTGTAGCCAGAGGCGTAGCGAGGGGGGACACGGGGTGCGAAAACCGGGTGACATCATTTGGGGGGGGGGGGTCGACACCAAGGCAAAAAGTAGCAAAATATATAGAGAAAAATAATAATTCCACTTAATGAAGTATTACTTCGAGTGTTAAATAGTCTTTTAAGAGGTGCAAATCGAAAGTTTGAGGGGGGTGCAAATCGAAAATTGTAAGTTTGTCCCCGAGAAGGGTCGCTACGCCTCTGAGGGGTGACACCATTTAGTGCCGCACTGGGTGACACCCGACCTCGCTACGCCACGGTGTGTAGCCTAGGCGTGTAGAATGTGTTCTATGTTTGACGTTTGCGTATGTTGAGGTTGTGAACGAGTTTCATTATGAAAGTCACTAGCCCGTGTGACATGGTATGTGTTTGTGGAGAGATTATAAGGATAAGAAATGGAGAGACACGAGAAGAAAGTGATTGACAGTTGGAAGGGGATTGTGAGTGGCAGTGCTGCAGGCAACTGATCAGATGCTGTGTGTACAGGCGAGTTGTATACGACAGTAATGGAGAGAAGTTCGAAAACTTTAAGCAATTTTTGTTGTCAATTACGTTTGGACTCCTAGACATCACCACTCAAAATGTTTTTTTTCCATCTAAGTTAAGTTTATGCAGAGACGTAAATATTCTAAAATTTGAATAAAACACTCAAAGATATACTAAACAGCCATAATAGCAAAACTTTGATTGCTCTGAAATATGTATGAATAAAACACGCAAAGATGTACTAAACAGCCAAAATAGCAAAACTTTGATTGCTCTAAAATAAAATTTAATTGTTTTTTTAGGTTAAGTGAATATAGTTAGTTGCACACAATTTTTCAATTGAAGAAAATGACAGAAATAACGACAGGGTTGTATTAATGGGACTAAATGCTGCAAAACAATACCAAACTTATGTTTATTGGATAAACGGTTCTCTAGATATGACGGTTTTAGTGTAAAAATTGCGGGGACAACTAAGCCTATGGAGAATGAAACCAAAAGTTGGTCACGTCGAGAGTACGAAAAAAGCGAATGGGAAAATCTTCTAATAAAAGGCATAATTATAATTTCTCAAAATTATTACATTATCGCAGTTTAACTTTGCGCGCGTCTAGTCTAGAGCGAAGAGAGTAGGTTACGTAAGACTAAATAAATTGTAATAAAATGTTTTTAAACAATCTAGTTTATTAGCTTTAAATATATTTACGCTTAAGGAAATACCAAAGCTAGATTATAAGTAGGTTTAGGCCTACCGTTTAACACTAATTAATTACTAGACTCTAGATCTAGATCTAGATCTAGATCTAGATTCTAAATAAATGTAAATAGACTCTAGTTAACTAGTACCTAGATATCTAGATCTAAATCTAGTACTAAATACTATTTAGTACTAGATTTAGATCTAGATCTAGATATCTTTAGTAAATAGCTAGACTCTACCCTAGAATCTAGATCTAGACCTAGACTCAATCCCCATCGCCATCATATCTCTAAACTCTAAAGTTTAACTAGATCTAGATCTAGATCTAAATCTAGATCTAGATTTAAATGAAATTCACGATTATTGAATTTTTTACGGACACATTAAAATTAAAATTAAATTAGGCCTAATTTAAAACAACAAAGATCTAGATCTAGCTCTACTCCAAAATTCAACCCTGATTGTTCATGATCTACGACGGGCGCGTTCTAGATTCTATAGATCTAGATCTATTGAGAGACATTTTAAAAAAAATTATGCATCATGACAAAACTTGGTTCATTAAAAATAGGCCTAAACAAGTAAACATGGATATTATTATTAATGGTTTAAATCATGGCACAATAAAGAGTAGTTTAAACTATTATAGCATACATGGAAACTTATGCCTACATTAAAAAATTGAATAAAACAAATTCATAAACAGAGTGTGTCTGTTTTTTTTTTATTTTATTTAATATATAGGAAAGTCCCAAAGTTTACAAGCTTTTAATTTTAGGAGTAATGTGTGAATAGAAGCAATAATCTGGCTAGTTTTGTGTACAGTGTAGGATGTGTAGTCTCAAAGTCAAATGAATAAGCTAAAGGCTAATTATTTATGAATATATTATATATTAATACATGCATCTGATTTGCAGGAATAATAAGATATATCATAACTACATATCTGATCAGTCCTGCTAATCAGATGCATATATTATTATTAGATATATATTTATGATATTGACAAACATGAACTTAGAATTTTATTTTGTTGAACAAGGAGCAGTCACAAAAATGTATAGATCTATATAAATTCTTGTGTTTTATAAAGAGACTAACTTTGTGCATTGCATTTATTAAAAATTGTACAATATAACTTCTAAAGGAACTTGTAAATTAAAACTCAAACAACAGATGCTTACTGATCATATCAGTTATTAAAGTAGCTACATTGAGTTCTGAGTCTTCACTATTTTCCTCATCAATTGACCAATAACTTTCAATAAGCAATTACAAATCTATCAAGTTTTGTCTCACTAGCTGTGAGTCTTAAGACTATTCTACCAAAAAACAAGGTGTCATTGTCATTTATACATTCCCACTTGTGTTTTAGCAGTTGGCCAGTCATATCCTCTCCATTGATAATTTTAGCAAACACTTGTTTTTGTCTGGTCTCCACATTGCAGAATATTTCATCGTTAATAAATAACTGACCTTTTGCCAACTTATCAACATCTATCTTTAACTTCTTTCTTTCTTTCTTTTCTTTCTTGATTCTTCTCTTCTTTGTATGATTTCACTTTCAATTTCTCGCTGTTGGGTTTTGTGTGATCTTTGCCTGCGAGCACCTTCAGTTATAGCAAAATCAATTAGCTGATTTTGTTCATTGATACTTTTTGCATCAAGCCACTCCATTGTTTTATTTAAGCTTTAACCTTTTCTCACAGATAGTGGTGTTGCCTGTGTGTTTATTCCTACATAGGGTTCATTGAAATAACTAACCAACTGTTGCCAATTTCTTTCAGGGTTTGATTTTAAGAGCATGAATTTTTTTACAGAGTTTCTGTTAGCAAAATAATTTTTTGTTGTTTTTATATGTCTGTTTCAATCTAATAGCTCATCAAGTACCTTGGAGATATTTTTATTTTTTATATAGTACAAATAAACTACATTGCCTATTCGCACTTCACCACTTACATCAGAATACCTTTGATAGAGATTTACTACATTCAAGGGATTCTTCTTCCCCATTCTGTCTTGCCTATAAATAATAAAATCATAAGTAGTTAATTATAGTTATACTATTTAATTTTTGACAATGGATAGCTAAAAAAAAAATTAATAGTTCTGCTTATAATATATTTTATTATTAAAAAAAAAATACACGGACCTTTTGAAGAAGGGCATCGATACCACTAATTAAAAGAGTGACTGGTTTTTGTGTTTTTGTAACGTCCGCAAAAAATATGTTACTACTAATATATCAAGTTATAGGCTAAATAAAGTTAATTAAGCTTTAATAATATTAAATATATTAATATATTTATTACAGTTATTAGTTAAACAAAAATTAGTGTGTTTGTGAGTGCTTAAAAAGAACAACTGAGTAATAATAATAAGCTAGTAAGTCGAAAACAACGATATGCCTATTTTAAAATATATAGTATATTTAATAGGCCTACTTAATAGGTTGACAGACATGCAATATGGTGTTTTATTAACAAGAACCTTACAATTTAAACAATAATTGAATCCCTTATTTTAATTTTATCAATATTAATCATGTATAAAGCCTTTAGAGCTAATTAATTATCTAGGAAGTTCGGGGCTTAAAAACTAGATTTAAGGCTGAACGGAGATGCGTGTTAAGCGGTATCGCTATTACTAGTATTGGTCTACTTTGTGAGACCATTTTCAATATTTTCTACATTGTTAATTATTAACAAAAAGAAGTCTACTAGTGCATTTAATTAAATAGATAAATACAGTGGCGTAGGCAGGGGGGGGGTTAGGGGGGGTCATAACCCCCCCCCCCCCCATAGACCCCTCGGTATATATAAAAAGTATGAGGGGGGTGCAAATCGAAAGTTTGAGGGGGGGGGGTGCAAATCGAAAGTTTGAGGGGGGGGGGGGGTGCAAATCGAAAGTTTGAGGGGGGGTGCAAATCGAAAGTTTGAGGGGGGTGTGCAAATCGAAAGTTTGAGGGGGGTGTGCAAATCGAAAGTTTGAGGGGGGGGGGTGCAAATCGAAAGTTTGAGGGGGGGGGGGTGCAAATCGAAAGTTTGAGGGGGGGTGCAAATCGAAAGTTTGTCCCCGGGTAAAAATTGGAACCCCCCCCCCCTTGAGACGATCCTGGCTACGCCACTGGATAAATATATTACACTCAATCCATGTTTAGTTTAAGTGTGTATCTTTTTACAGTATTTTATTTAAATAGCTCGATTCCCAGTTCGATCATGATTACAGCGAATTAGTTACAACTAGAGCGGGCCTTCAAAACGTTACATATTTGTATAAATGTGTTTTGTATTAACATTTAACACAAGATAATTACGTTAGCAACATTTAAACTCCAATTTTGTAAGTATTCTTTTTTTTTAAAAGCGTCAATGTCATAAAATTTAGGCCGATTCTAGTCGGAATAAGATACGCATGCGATACGCATGCGCAATGGAGAGAAACTACCACTTAGCGGCGATGTTTTCGATGGTACTGCGCATGCGTGTGTTTACAACCGCAGAACCCTAATACCAACCCTAATCCTATCCTTAACCCTATCCCTAATCCTACCCCTAACCCTCATTCTAGCCCTAACCCTAGCCATAGGTCACTGCGCATGCGCAGAACTATCTTTTGCCGAAAAATCTTATTCCGAGTAGACACTTCGTAAAATTTATTGTATTTTACAATCAATCAATCGGCGCGGAAAGGGGTTTAAAAAGTATCGATACCGTTTAAATAGTGTCATTCGGAGGATTGCTTTGTGAGACGAAGTTCGTAGTCTGCTAAAGCGTAAAATATTACAAAAAATTAGACTTAAGCAGAAAAATGGATTATTAAAATAATCCTAACAAATACAGAGCTAGTCCGAGTGTTAAAATATTTTAATACAATTTTTGAAAACTTACCTTTTTAAGTGGCTTTTGTTTTGACATATAGAAAAGGGGTCTTGTAGAAAAAATTAATCTGCCGTAAGCGGCCGCATCAAGTCGTTCCGACCAAAGTTAAAACGGGTTACGGAATCACGTGATATCTATTTTAAAGCCGTTTGATGCGCTATGTGTCGACGGCTTTAGACGTAATTATTTTCTTTGTAAACGAAAGGTTTTGAGACTGTGACGTCATATTTTCTTGGTTTGTGCAACTAACTATGATATACGTTTTTTTTTTCGTTAAAAAGGCTAATTTAAAGTAGGGCATGAAATTTTGTGAAGTGGGCAGATAGACTCCAATGTATGACAGAGCATGCTTTTTTGTATAGCATGTGACACGAAGACATCCAGATATAACCTCCCATAAAATATGCCTTTATTGTTTGTGACAGTCTTGTCATTTCACAAATATCTGACGCATTTGTCCGGATTATTTCCCCAGTTAACTTTTGCCGGTGGCTGTCGTTAATTGTTACAATCTCCTGGCACGATACTTCCTGTTTATTGTTTTCCTGTCAACATTCTACATGAACGTCACATCCGGTGTTCCACGTGATCTCTTTCAATATGTCAATGTATTAAGCACTTGTTTTATACATAAACACACACACACACACACACACACACATATATATATATATATATATATATATATATATATATATATATATATATATATATGTACGTATATATATCTATGTTGTATATATATGTATATATATATATATGTACGTGTAGATATATATAAATATGTACGTGTATATATATATATATATATATATATATATATATATATATATATATATATATATATATATATATATATATATATATATATATATAAATTTTATATATATATATATATATATATATATATATATATATATATATATATATATATATATATATATATATATATATATAAAGTTTTGCTAAAGTGGGTTGAAAATATCGGCATTCAAATCATGGCTAAAACACTGGTTTGGTTTAAAATACTTTAAATATGTTTATTTGCTGTTGCAGTATGATAATCAAGCGAAAAAGAGGTATGATTGTATGTATGTATGTGTGTACGTGCGGGTGTCACAAACGCACGTACAGACATACGCTGTATTTGTCCGTGGAACAGATAGTGTAAGCACGACACCATTGACACAAGTACCAGTACATACAAACCTGAAGTAACAAAAGATGAAGAGTGTGATGATGAGGAAGGCGAGCGAGATGAGGTTGGTGATGAAGATAACATCTATCAGGATCTTGTACAGGTGGATCTGAAATCAAAATTAAAAAAACGGCCAAATACAGATAAATATCAAATTAAAGAAAAACGGTCATATAAAAGTAAATCTGGTATCATACAAGTGCAGGTAGTTTAATGGTGAAACTTGAATCAAAGATGTACAATTTGTTTACAGTTAAATTTTTTTACAGGTAGATCTTAAATCAAAGATGTAGGCCTACAATTTATTTCAGTTAGATCTTAGATCAGAGATTTATAATTTATTAATAGGTGGCCTAAATCTTAAATGAAAGAAATGTACTTTATTAACAGGTAAATCTTAAATCAAATAACTAGCGCTCATAACCACTAGACCTGTTATTAAAGAAGTATGAGACATATAGATAAATTAAAAGGAATTAACCACTGGAACACTAGTACAGCTAAACCAAACACGATACGCAGACAATTACAGCTGAATGCTTTCATACTACACTACATTAAAACTTGTGTTTGTCTTTTGTAAAACACATCAGCTGTTTGGGAAAGGTTTTTGTGTATAGAACAATTGCAGTGTGAGACTTTTAATATATCAGTTGAATGAAACTTAGCGTGATGTAATTTACTGGATAATTGATTTTTTAAATATAAAACAGACAGTGAGTCGGAACGCTAGACAAGAGACGGACGGACGGAGTAAGGACGGACGGACGGACGGACAGACAGACAGACAGACAGAGAGACAGACAGACAGACAGACAGAGAGACAGACAGACAGACAGGCGGGCGGACGGACGGACGGACGGAATGACGGACGGACGGACGGACGGACGGACGGACGGACAGACAGACAGACAGACAGACTTCAAGTAACTTGTCGTGTTATCAAACCCAAAGAAAAATTAATTCGTAGCATTTACATTTTTTCAAATCAATTTACATAAATTTATATTGATTGTATTTTTAAACTTTACAATAATGTAATAATGTTTTTTTTTATGGGTTTTTTTTTTAGTTTTTCGTTTCGCAACATTAATGTTCCATTTGTTTTTCCCCAAATCTTTTTTTTTTAATTTAACGACTACATGTATTTAAATTTTACATTTTCCCAGCTCCATTACCATTTGGCCTGCCATAAGAAACTGCTGCAAATAATGCAGTTAATGGTTTTAACATTTCACAGCTCCAAAATATATTTTATACTCAAATACTCTTAATAAATCAAACTAGAGTTAAACGAATGTATCTGAACTGATAATGAAACCGCCATGCATACTAAAATGTGTACGTAAATAAGTACGTCAGTTCTCATTAGAGTCACCGTGAGCATCCCCTCCCCCTCTCCCGACACACACGCTAATCAAATGTTTGACTGAATGTGTCGACCAACTGTGATTAAAATCCAGATTCTCAAGTTGTTTTTACATGCAGCTAAAAATAAACCGCGATCACGTGATTATATTTGCCCTGGATTGATCTGTTGAAAGAGTATTGAATATTGATGGAAGACAAATAGCACGCTTTCCCAGCCGATTTCACTAAACTTCGGATTTGCTTTTACATGTACCATAAAGTAAAAAAAAATGGTTTTAAAGATGTGTTGGTGGCGGGGAATTAAGAAGTTGTTTGTTGGTGGTGGTGGAAGATCCAAAAGGTGTTTGGTGGTGGAGTGATATCTAGAAGGTTCTTATTTGTGGTGAAAGATAAAGAACGTGTTTGATGGTGTTGGAATATCTAGAAGGTGTTTGGTGGTGGTGGAAGATTTAGAAGGTGTTTGTTGTGTTTATTGGTGGTGGAAGATTTAGAAACTGTTTGTTGGTAGCATATAATTGTATACGTTTGAATTATTTTTGGGCCATTGGAAGGTTTAAACTGATTTTTTGTAGTTAACGTATATAACAATGGATGCTGGTAGTTGGAAGTTGAACCTGGTGTAAAAACCAGCTAAAAACAGTCTTCACTGCGCCTCTGGTATTTGACGATGTTCGGAGTATTTAAAGCAGAGGGTTGAATGCTGGGAGGAAGTTTCATAATGTCATGGCGGGAGTTGAAATATTGATCTCACTAATGGTAGGCTAAAAATACTTAAAAGCTCATATGTGTTTTATTACGGTGAACGTTTGAAATACCTGCTTTGATATTTCCAATTGTTATATGTCATATAAAGCAAATAGAAGCCAGATTTTCTGGCAATAAAGTAACATCATGAGCTATATAAACTTAGACTTGACGTCCATTTCATATTCAGTCCACTGCCGCTATCAACACTATGCATAGCAAGCAAGTCTATATGTTCTTGGTTCTGACATAAGTCATTTGTCCTGAAGACGTAATGTCCCATCACCACAACCAGCTAACACACAGCAGTCAGTCGCCTCCCATTCGAGCAAATATTTTTATTGGGCAAGTTAACCTAATACACGCTCGGAATAACTGCTGATAAAGATGAAAAAAAAGGACCAGACGCGTCTGAATTAAGCACAGACGTCCTAGACCCTAGTCCCACACAAATCCAAGAACTACAAGGTCGGGAAATTAATTTTTGGTCGATACATTAGGTCAGTCTCAGACCAAAGTAGAATCTCCGACTTTTGATGGGAGGGCTCTAAGGAAAATATTCTGGGAAAGATAGCTGATGTTATCGTATGGTAGGGGGTCTTTGGTTTAGCTTCAGTCATCTAGACAACTAGGAATATGATTATACATTTCATCAATTGTGATTATAATTTTACTGCGGGTACCAGAATGGCGTAACAAATTATGGGACACAAGTCAGCTCTATTCAAAGTTCAAATATTTTTAGATAGTTTAATATGAAACACATGTGCAGTAATGTCGTACGTAATTCTTTTTTTTTGTGTGAAAAAAATGTGAAAAACACAAAAGCTACCCTTATTCGCAGCTGAAAAAACTATATCGATGGTTGAGTAAAATAGAACAATTAGTAAACAGCTGTCGCAAAAAGTTATATCTTGATCGTGTTAGCCAAAAGCAGATTAATTGTTGATCCGGCGTAAGTCAAAGGTTCCAGACTGAATACAAAGCAGGAAATTTGGTGGGATGAATTGATCGCGCTAGTTATTGCTTAGATCTCATTTCTTATTGGGAATATCAATAGACGTTTCTCTCTCATTTAAAGGGGAATTGTTATTGTTTTCTTTCTTTTATTTAAAGAAGAATTGTTATTTTTTTTCTTTCATTCATTTAAAGGAAATCGTTATTGTTTTCTTTCTTTCATTTAAAGTGAAATCGTTATAGTTTTCTTTCTTTCATTTAAAGTGAATAATTACTTTCTTGTATCTCAACATTTAATAGGCATCGTTTTTTTTTTCGTATCTCTAAACTCATACACTTCTAGACAATAACATTTTTGTGTGTCACCGCATATGTATGTCTTTCTTCTTTTCTAAGTCTACTGTCTAGTGAGTCACAATTAGTAATTACGGTGAGAAAAAATCCTGACAGCTTCATTATCTAAGAAGAGATAACATTGTTTTTCTCCTAACGGCAGAGAGAATAGTCGTCTGCTAAGGTCTCGGATCTACAGAAATTAGGTCATGATATTGCACGAGATTTAACATTTATTCTAACAGCACTTGAATAAAGCTGTTTGAAAGGGAAGAATATTTGATTTTTGTGTCTCATGTTACTCTACCTATCATCCGCGCTGCTTCAAATATTTATATTTATAATATAATTCTTCTTTTATCCCCAATTTATTTCAGCTCTAGTTATAAGCCAGTGCACCCACTCCACCGAAAATTATCATTTGACTTATTTTAAATTTTTGTTTACAGTGTTGTTTTCTCGAATCACCATTTAATTACACATTTAAATTTTCAAGTTGAAAACAAAAATTGAAATTAGACGTTTTGTACTATGTAGAAGTAAACCATATTCAATGCTTGAAAGAATGTCAGAAAGAAGTATCACTATTATATGTACCAGTCCACACAAGCCGATGATGAAAACTGTAATACTGAAGAGAACACGGTAAATTAAACTGACGCTGTAAATTACATGTATGGCGCAATTAAAAAGAAACAAAAAATCTAACCGTACTTCTTATTGCTAACAATTGCTGTATAAAAAAGAACTCATCTTTCAGTTTAAGGTTGAAAATATAAGGCTGAAAAAAAAAGGTTTGTGCATCTAAATTTTTCTGCTGACCAGGCACAAAGTGAGCTTTACCTAAAACACGTTAGAAGCTAAAGCATACATTTCGTAGATAAAACTATTCTTACGTTCCAACATTAAGGCTTATCCGGACCACTTGCTAGCGTCATATACATACATTTTCTACTATATAAATATGTAAATAAGGAAGTCTAGACGAACATGGTTCATTTTAGACCTGACATTTCCTATAAATTGCAGCACTCGTAAATAAAATTGATGCTGTGAATTATCTATATAATTTATTCCTTTATTGATCGTTGTTTAATAATTACCCTAAAATGATACAGTTTAAAAGCTTTATTGAAGGAATTTTCTCGAAGCCTAAGGGAACGAGATAAAATACGGGTTGTTGATGAGAAGTTTAATAAGCAGACATAGCTAAACAGACAGATGATTCATGGCGGGTTTACTTGATAAAACGTAATGTTCTTCTGTATAGAATGTGGGGATTAACGTATAATAAAAGGGCACGAGTCTTCCCATAACTACTCCTTCACCATACACATCGTTTAGATTGTGGTAAAGGTTTGTTTTACGACAATCCTATGGTTTCGTGTCTAAGTCTACATTGACTGACACTCTCTCCACAAACTGATATTCTTTCTACACACACACACTCCCTCCACACATACTCACACTCCATCCACACACAGCGACACTCCTTTCAGACACTGAACTCCCTCCACACTTAAGTACACCACAAGACATGACTGTCTTCTTCCGTCTCACTTCTAGTGTTGGATGGGATTCCCTCCAACACAATGTAGTATTTTTGATTGGCTTCTATAGCCTTTGTCCAACCAAGAACAAACTACAAGGCAGAAGAGTTACTGTCCGCAGTCATCGAGCATCATCTGCCCAAAGGTTTGAACTTGAGACTCTCCGGTTTAGCAAACCACGAGCTTTACCGACTCGACCACGCCGACCTCCTCTCAACACACTGACACTCACTCCACACTCTGACACTCCACACTCTGACACTCCACACACTGACACTCACTCCACACTCTGACACTCCACACTCTGACACTCCACACTCTGACACTCCACACTCTGACACTCACTCCACACACTGACACTCACTCCGCACACTGACACTCACTCCCCACACTGACACTCACTCCACACTCTGACACTCCACACACTGACACTCACTCCCCACACTGACACTCACTCCACACTCTGACACTCCACACACTGACACTCACTCCACACTCTGACACTCACTCCACACTCTGACACTCACTCCACACACAAACAATCACTTCACACACACTGATAATTCCCCCACACATGCTGACACTGTCCATACACACTGACATTCATCCACACACAGACCATCCCTTCCACACACACTAACACCCTGGGGATTAAACTCGATTTCAACATCCCATCTGTTTGGCGAGCCATGACAAAAAAAGTGAGAACAAAACTGTGTGTAAACATCATGAGGCGATTGATGAGCTTCCATCAGTAAATTAGCGGGCATATTTTGCCAATGTTAAAAGCATTAGGGAACTACAATAAAAATGATACCAGATCGAGATTAATACTCTAATTAGGTAATTAAACTGAGACTTTAATAAAATGATGAGATTAAAAGCAGTTGGAGAAATTACAAGAACAAAGCTGTTTGACAAAAATTATCAAGATCCTAGAGATTGGGGTTAAAGGTCACGTTGATGTGTCACCAAGATCAGCGGTTAATGACCACGTGACTAACGCGGCTAGATAATCCCACCAAATCCAATCAGATATTTGTTGACTGCCTGACTCGCTAATCCCACTAAATCCAATGTTTAGTGACTGCCTGACTCGCTAATCCCCCTCCCCATGTTTCATAACGACTATTCCAAGACACCATATTGTAACGTGATCGTTAAAACACAAACGGTCTTTTGTCTAGAGAATACACGTGTTGTTTTCGCCGTTTTACAATTATATTCCAGTCAATGGAATCGACTTTGTTTCTCTGCGATAATTGTCACTAGGATCAAACTCGCTACACCGTCATAACTTATTTTAGATATAACATGGAATATAAAATTACATGACATATTGTTGTAGTAGCTATTCATGATCACTGACGTACAACAACTATATTTAGTTAATTGTATTTTACAGGTATTACTCTTGTTAAGTGTAGTTTCAAATATTTAATAAATTATATAAATAGAACAAAATAAATAATATTATTAATTATTTAAAGTTAGAGAATAAATATCAAAGATGAACACTATGAACAAATATAATGGCTAAACACTGACAAATAACACAATACCAAATATTAAAAAAAAAATTATTCTACAGAGTTACAGCCTCCCCCCCCCCACCTCCCCCAGTTCTCCCTCCTCTCTCTACCCCCCCCCCCCCCCCCAATCATTTTTGAGTTACAAGAACGTCATTAAAGGAAACGTCCATAAAATGTCGGGAACTTGTTAAACTTGCCCGCCTGAAGACTTATCGTAGGGGTCATCTTCCCACACTGCACCGCGCTACCCAACGGATGAAATACGAAGGGACGCCACTCTCACATTTTAAGCAGAAAATAATGACGTAGTACGCGAGATTTCAATTCCAGACGATTTGAGTAAACATTTCATTAAGTTAGCGGAAATCTGGTGAGGACAGTGACTGTATTGATATTTCCGTTCTCGTCGAAAATTCAATTGTTTATAAAAACTTAAAGTCTGCACTGGCGGCTTTTCGACGTTTAAAGTATTAACATCGGTATCAAGAAAACAGAACTTTGAAAGAGTGAATTAAATGATTTTGATCCGTTTGATCGGGGGAACTCTTGGAACTTTCTCGGGGGGGGGGGGGGGGGTGTAGACCATAATTTCGAGGTAAGGGGGTGCAAGTGTTTCTGGGTACAGTGCCCCCCTCCCCGAATAGATGCATTAAGGAACTGCTAATCTACCTTCAGCATTTTAAGATTCTTGGCATGCAACTTGCATTACTTACATTCTGGGAAGACTACTAACATTACTTACATATTTAGGCTACTAACATTGACTACATTCTGGGGAGGCTACTAACATTACTTACATTCTCGAGATAGTACAATTATTAAATCATTGAAAATTTTCTTACGTTTCTAAAATTATTGAGAGGTTACCTACATCACTATTGGGCGGTGTGGTTGAATGGCAGTGCACCCAAACTGAAAATCTTGAATTCTTGTTTGAACCCGTAGGAAGTCTTTGAGTCCACCCAGCTCTGATAGAAACTTGACTCACTAGTAAAAACGGCTGGGCATAGCGATTATTACAATATCCCTTTATATGCCAAGGGCACATAATTAGATGAACTCTACTTCACCTACCACATGATCTGTCAGGTTCGAAATGGAACTTTACTTACATTAGTAAAATCCTTGAGGTATTTGTTAGGGTAGCCTTCAGAACATTACTACTTACACGAAACCTCCATATACCTGTCTATAGTCTTTAACTTGTGAGGTAACTAACACTAACTGTTTTAGTACTAACTACTTACCTCACTCATATCCTTGAGATATGTATCAGAGTAGCCTTCAGAACATGCGCTGTAGTTTGTCCAATTGGCGAGCCATGTACCATTTGCTAAACAAATCCTGTATGCGAAGTACTCTGTTGATAGTAAAAGTATGTTCACAGTTGACATGAATATATGTTCTTAGTTAACAGTAGTTAATGAATATGTGTATCATGTAGTGGTGTGTGTGTGTGTTATGTGGTTGTGTTATGTGTGTGTGAGGAAGAGAGAGATAGAGAGAGAGAGAGAGAGAGAGACTCATACTATGTTATTAAGGTCTCGTTTCAACTTCTTTATTGTAAGATATTTTAAATGGTTCAAACATGTCTTGTATTCTAGATATTAAACATATTTTAAGCAGCTTGAGGTCATTAAAAAGTTAAAAGGTAAAAGTTTAAGGTAAAGGAACAGTTTCATAAATCCTCTAATCATAGGTTGATAAAGCAATTTTTTATGCTTGTGTGACTTTATGACCTACAGGACTTCAAACCACATCAAGACCTTTCGCCACTAGATGAAAGGGGTAACTATTTTAAACTGAGTGCTGAGTTAATTACCGCGTTTTCTTTACACCACAATCGTAACTACATAAAAGAAAAATTCGCCTTTAATTTAAACTGGTACATTAAGGTCTCGACCTTGCTAAATCAATGTGTCATGTGATGGCATTGGGGCATGGTCAGGAGACCGTCATTAGAAAACATTCAGGAGACCGTCATTAGAAAACATTCAGGAGACCGTCATTAGAAAACATTCAGGAGACCGTCATTAGAAAACATTTAGGAGACCGGCATTAGAAAACATTTAGGAGACCGTCATTAGAAAACATTCAGGAGACCGTCATTAGAAAACATTCAGGAGACCGTCATTAGAAAACATTCAGGAGACCGTCATTAGAAAACATTCAGGAGACCGTCATTAGAAAACATTCAGGAGACCGTCATTAGAAAACATTCAGGAGACCGTCATTAGAAAACATTCAGGAGACCGTCATTAGAAAACATTTAGGAGACCGTCATTAGAAAACATTCAGGAGACCGTCATTAGAAAACATTCAGGAGACCGTCATTAGAAAACATTTAGGAGACCGTCATTAGAAAACATTCAGGAGACCGTCATTAGAAAACATTTAGGATACAGTCTTTAGAAAACATTTAGGATACAGTCTTTAGAAAACATTCAGGAGACCGTCATTAGAAAACATTCAGGAGACCGTCATTAGAAAACATTTAGGAGACCGTCATTAGAAAACATTTAGGATACAGTCTTTAGAAAACATTCAGGAGACCGTCATTAGAAAACATTCAGGAGACCGTCATTAGAAAACATTCAGGAGACCGTCATTAGAAAACATTCAGGAGACCGTCATTAGAAAACATTCAGGAGACCGTCATTAGAAAACATTTAGGATACAGTCTTTAGAAAACATTTAGGAGACCGTCATTAGAAAACATTTAGGAGACCGTCATTAGAAAACATTCAGGAGACCGTCATTAGAAAACATTCAGGAGACCGTCATTAGAAAACATCCAGGAGACCGTCATTAGAAAACATTCAGGAGACCGTCATTAGAAAACATTCAGGAGACCGTCATTAGAAAACATTCAGGAGACCGTCATTAGAAAACATTTAGGAGACCGTCATTAGAAAACATTCAGGAGACCGTCATTAGAAAACATTTAGGATACAGTCTTTAGAAAACATTTAGGAGACCGTCATTAGAAAACATTTAGGAGACCGTCATTAGAAAACATTCAGGAGACCGTCATTAGAAAACATTCAGGAGACCGTCATTAGAAAACATTTAGGATACAGTCTTTAGAAAACATTTAGGAGACCGTCATTAGAAAACATTTAGGAGACCGTCATTAGAAAACATTTAGGAGACCGTCATTAGAAAATATTCAAGAGACCGTCATTAGAAAACATTCAGGAGACCGTCATTAGAAAACATTCAGGAGACCGTCATTAGAAAACATTCAGGAGACCGTCATTAGAAAACATTCAGGAGACCGTCATTAGAAAACATTTAGGAGACCGTCATTAGAAAACATGCAGGAGACCGTCATTAGAAAACATTCAGGAGACCGTCATTAGAAAACATTCAGGAGACCGTCATTAGAAAACATTCAGGAGACCGTCATTAGAAAACATTCAGGAGACCGTCATTAGAAAACATTCAGGAGACCGGCATTAGAGCAGAGACAAGAGACTGGCATTACGACACAGACAGGCCAGTAAGCGAAAGTACCTTTACAGGTTACCGAGTGATCGGTTGATTGAATGATCTACTGGCCATTCTGAGATCGATATATGTATGGACGTTTTTACTCCGTCTTCGGGAGAAGGGTTGCGTGATTCTACCACAACAACATTGTGAACTACACGTGACCAACAATACATCATTTACACATACAGCAATTCTGTATAGGTAGTATTCAATCGGGACGAGTGGCTGGTGATGTACACGAATGGGTAGCCCGTTACTCTCATCTAGGTGTCCCGACCCTAGGAAAGATGAGGCTCTTTAGATAATGACGGCAGCCCGGCTAGAGAAACATGAAGTCAAACAACTGATGTTGTACAGATAGTTATGGGTTATCAGAGACTATAGAAGCACATCTAGAAAGAAGAGCAGGCTGAGTCAACGTGCCATTTGGTGAACTTGTTTGGACCTTATACTTATTATGTTTGAGAAAAAACATTACGTTGGATTTGTTCTTTGATCCACTCAATGGGGAGTGGGGTGAGGGGGATGAATTATATTTTTTATACACTTAACTTTACTCTTTACTCTGACTTACGTAAAATGAAATTAATAATGACTCTCAACATCAATATTCAGTTAGGATAAAATCAATATTTTCTATCTCGACATTATAGAAAACCAAACCTAAAAAGACCTAATTAATTCCAATAAAAATATAATTAAGCTCTCTGGTCTGAAAAAAATGTTACACGGAAGTTATAAATAGAAGTACTAAAATTCCCTGGTGAAATCTGTGTTGACAGCTAAAAATTAATCCTAAAATATCCTTACAATAGTGGCTTTACAGAAAAAAATTTACATTGCAGTTTTTACAGAAAAAAAAATTACATTGCAGTCTTGACATAAAAAAACAACAAAAAACAATAAAATATCGTAGTAGCTATATATCTTTACAACGACCGTCTTTACAAAAAAAATAAACTCGTAGAACTAAATGTCCATATAATAACTGTGTTAACAAACAAAAAAACAAAAAACAAGAAAAAGTAGTACTAAAACTCCCCGGGCAAATCGGGGGCTGACTATTCAACTAGAAAATATGTACTCAAGTATTCTACGAGCGAACAAATGTATTGATAAAAGCTTATTGGGGGGACGGGACTCGTAGGGGGCGGGTTAAAAACTGAGTGTCTGTCGAGGGGAGACGGTTATGACGAAATGATGAGCTATCTAGAGATGTGAGGAAACTACCACACGGTAGGAACTGGTGGATTTATGCAGATTAGGTCAGCGGGCTTGGGGAAGAGGGGGGGGGGGGGGGGAGAACAAGTTAATTTATTGAAAGAAATCTGGTTCTTTCCATAGCGGTATAGCGACGTTTAGTTTTTACTTAAGGTGGTTATGTAAATCACCGCTTCATGAGATGGGTTTTATTGTAGGGAAATCTGGTAGTTTCCATAGCGGTATAGGGAGATTTTAGTTTTTACTTTAGGTGGTTATTTAAATCACAGCATGCATGTAATGGGTTTTATTGTAGGAAATCTGGTTCTTTCTTAAAGTAGCGGTATAGAGAGATTTTAGTTTTTACTTTAGGTGGTTATTTAAATCACAGCATGCATGTAATGGGTTTTATAATTGTAGGACATCTGGTTCTTTCCTTAAAGTAGCAGAAAAAGGAATTTTAGTTTTTACTAAAAAAGTAAAACTGTTTTATTCATAAAGCAACGTGATACGGAAGTTGCAGTAGTTATTTAAGGTTGTATAAGTCACAGCATGCCAGTGTTTCTTCCAGACTTTTTTCTCTTGGGAGGTGGGGGGGGGGGGGGGGGCACTTGAAATTTTCGGGGGACGGACACTGTTAAATGTATATATTTTCTATATAAATTCCATTTTGTTCGAAAAGATGCCTGGAAGAAACTGTGCAGCATGCATGCATTGCTCTGATGGGTACCTAACTCACATTAGGGAAAGTCATGGAGGTTAGGTATAGAGCTAACCATACTATCCCTTCATGTGCCGGGGCACAGAAACAGGTGAACTCTACTTCACTTACCCCATGACTCTTCAGGTTCGAAAAGGGCACCTTTTTCATCTTTATATAGTCGTTGGTAAATTTAAAAAAAAAAATTATTACGGCATGAAGCTTTGTTTTGAGCTGATATTTTTAAAATGTTATGTAAATGTGTTTATTGATTCATCGATTTAGACCGTTCGGTTCGCAGCCTTTTATCAATAACAAACGCTGGATCTAATGCACAAGTCAGCATGTTTTATTCAATGTCAGCATATGTGATTGTTTACATACTGAGGGTCTAGACCTACAATTCTACAATTTTAATGGAGTAGAAGATAAACTCACTTAAAACCACGCCATCCCCACTCTCAAATTGTTTATTGCTTTAGAAACATGACATGCTCAATTATTACTCAAACTGCGTTAGAGTATTAAAAAGTAATATGTAAAAGTAAACAATTTATGTTTATATATAGCCTTACAAACTGAGTGGATATTTTCCCGTAAGCTCTACGAAAACTTCAGACAAGAAAGAAACTCGATGTGATAACATTATAAGTAGAGAAGACACGATCGCAAGCAGGAAGTGAATGTGATACCATCACAAGCAGGAAATAGATGTGATACCATCACAAGCAGGAAATAGATGTGATACCATCACAAGCAGGAAATTGATACCATCACAAGCAGGAAATAGATGTGATACCATCACAAGCAGGAAATTGATAACATCACAAGCAGGAAATTGATAACATCACAAGCAGGAAGTGAATGTGATACCATCACAAACAGGAAATAGATGTGATACCATCACAAGCAGGAAATAGATGTGATACCATCACAAGCAGGAAGTGAATGTGATACCATCACAAACAGGAAATAGATGTGATACCATCACAAGCAGAA